GCGCTGTCTGGTCTGACTCTCACTACTCAGCACCTGGTTATGCACTGGTCAGTGGGTGGTGAGCAACTGTAGCATATTGTATCATAGCTTTTATTTTCTATTATTTTAATTATTTATTGTTAGTAGTATTGGTATATATTAATTTAGATTTAATTAGTAAATAGTTCCTATCTCAATTTTACGAGCTTCCTTATTTCTTTTTCCTCTGATTCTTCCCTTCTGCTGAAGGAGGGGAGAGGGACTTGTGTGAGCAGCTTCGTGGTATTTTGCTAGCCGGAGTTAAACCACGACACAGGGGAACAAGGAATGTTGCTACCCTGTCATTTTATTTTTGCTGTAAGCTGAGGTACTGCTCAAACAGTCCCGTAGAATTGTGCCCTTCTGCTCTGCTCTGCTGCTGTGATAACTCTGCTGTCACAGAACTGTGCAAGTCTCACTTAGCCTGCACCGGTTGTGCTGAATTAATTAGCACAGAGGAGCACTCCCAGCGCTGGTGCTAGTTTGAAGAGACGTGTCATAAATGGGGATTTCTAGTCTTCAGGAAATGCGTATTTGCTAGATGCCTTTTAACCATACGGTTCTCTGCACTGTGGCTCACAGCGCGGATCCATCCTTACCCACCTTTTTATACTGCTTGGTAATCCCAGAGGCTTTTTGGGATGAGCTGGAGCGAGCAAATGAATCCATTCAAAAACACAATTTTCATGTTTGATGCCTAAATCTTGTTACATCCTTGGTTACTAGTGTATGGAGACTTGTAGAGAGCAAGCGAGTTCCAACACCGAGGCAACCACCACTTCCGACAGCGGCTGTGGTGCCTGCAGCGCTGCCCTCAACACCTTGCTTCTCTTCTGAAAAGCAGGCCGAGAGGGCGCAGCCATAATTCCAACTTCCCCTGTGTACGCTACCTTGGAAGAAATGCCTAAGGAGATCATCTCCAAGGGATACACAGCTCCACTCCTCTTTCTACTCCTGTGCACCCCTGCCCCCGGCAGAAGCAGCACACTGCTGAGGAAGACCAGCTCTGCCTGGGGCAGTGCTATGACCCTGCAGCCCACACGTGAAATGGGTGTCAGTGGGTGTCAATTCGAGATTGTGTGGGTCAAACTCTTAAAATTTCCTTGAGAATTGTGAGGCGCTCTCCCTAAAATAACAACAGAGCATACAGAGAAGCTCTGCCAGTAGTAATGTTACCATGGTGTCTTTACCAATTTTCAAGTTTGAAGATCTCGGGCTTTGAAAACTCCTTATCTGTGGCAATACTATTTTTCTTCATGATTCACACTGAAGTCAAACTATAGGTAAGCATGTGTACACTTCCTGAACAAAATAACGCTTGGACATGTCTTAAGAGTGGGGATACGCTTGCAGCTTGCATTAAACAAAGTATTTGCTGTTTCAACACACTTTCTATCTCAAAGATTGCCAGGCATCTATCACCCAGAGTTTAATTATGAAACCATGCTCCTGACTTCTCCTTCTGTACTGCTGACACTTAATTTACTTACAAAAGCCTGGTTTTCTTACACGCTTGATGCACCTCCTAAATTGTGCCAGCTGGTGGCATTTTAGAAATATGCAATGCCTGCTCCGCCCCAGCTCAAAACTCAAACGCATTTTCCAAATTCAAACCTCTAGAGAGGGACGCTCATGCCCGTTAATGGACCTAATAGAGCTACTGTTGAGGAGCAGGGTCTCTCAACAGCTGAACAGGCTGGATGAAACAAGAAGCACTTGGGGAGTAAACTCCCTATTTCTTTTGGTACAGTTGTAGGCTTCCTCTAGCTTGGCTAAGGCTGAATATAATCAGGCTTGTCCAAATGACCAAATGAATGAAAAGAAACGCAGTTCACCTGGCAGGCCGCCCAAGTAGGTAACAACGTCTGCCATCATCGCTTGGTGCAGGACAGAGAGTTGCTCTGAATTGCTTCTGTCTGTGTGTGAATCAACAGAGAGTTCAAGTTGCTGTCTGGTTACCAGAAGTCCAACCAGCACTTTTCTGGGTGTACATAACTTCTTTGATTCCAGATGTGCAACTATGACATTTCCAATGGTCACAATGATTTTCTAAATGGAAGAAAAGTAGGTCACAAAAGATGCCACATAAAACTTCAGCACATATTTAGTTCTGAAGCATTTTATATTTGGAAGTAGGAAAAAAAGGAAGCGTTAGAGCCACATTTTAAAAACTGGTACCTTAAAAGTTGGAAAAGTTACCAAAGTTGATGCATCATCTTTGGCAATGGATGCCATTCGTTTATATTCTTAAATTTATAGGTGAGAATGTTCACTGTGAGGAGAAAAAATCTTTGGCTATGGTTCTGAGGTGAAATCCTATTTCCTTTAAAGGCAAAAGGAGTACTGCTACAGCTTCTGAGGTAACCAAGTATTCACTATAGGTTCTTATTTTGGGCAAAAGCATGGACTGATTAGCCATGGTGTATCATAATGCTCTATTCTGGGATGTCTGATGTAAATTGGAACTTATGGACAAAAAGATTTGTTTATATACTAAAGCTAACACAATGCTGTTACTGTAATACCATCGTTCTACTTCTGTCATATCTCCCTTTCTGCTTTGTGCACTCGGAAGGGAAAGTTATAATCCTGATGTACTGGACAGTACCTGACCTAAGAGTGCTTAGTCACTGCTGTAGCAATCGTTAATGTGTTTTCTGCACACCACGATGTGATTTAAGTACCTTTTCAAATGCTAATTTAGCCTACCAGCTCTGCTGCAAGTAAGTGTAGCTTTTCTCAGTTTGATTTTTCACCAATGGAGGAGTGAGTTTACTTCAATTACTATTTAAAAGGTGTGTGTCAGCTGCTGTGAGAACTGTAAGGTCACCTGGGAGTCAGAGGAGTTCGAGTCCACTATGGACAAGGCGAGAGGCACTGTTTCACTGGAAACCAAGGCAAACATAACGCCGGTGTCTGTGGATGGGCGAATAGTCAAAGTCACGTTTATCAGCCAATCTTCAGCACTGTCAAGATTGCCTGTTTTAAAAAGTGTAATTGAAATTAACAAATCCCTTCATTAATAAAAAATTAATATGATGTAAATTAGTATTTAATCTGCTCCCACTGTAGAAAAATGAGTACTAATCTCCAGAAAAAACAGTGAACTCTGGAACTTTTAGAAAGAACTATAAGTCTAAAAAATAAAAAAGCTTTAATCCTGCATTTTGCCTAATCTTCTGTGCTTACTGGAATTTTTTTTCTACCTTCTCCATTCAATGTGGGACAGGTGCCACATTCATCAGAGGTCAGTTCAAATTAAAACCCAAATAACTAATTTATTCATAAATTGCTGCATTGAGTAGAGGATTGGCAGTCAGGAATGTCACTTTGACATTCCAAAGCAGTTCCACGATTAAAATGGAAACATGCAGGTCTGTAAAGTGAATATGCAGATGGTGCAAATATAATTTCATATGATGCATTCATATTAAAAATTACCATTTAAAGAGGTATTTTCCATCTTTTGCCTCTTCTTGAAGTGTCTCTTCCACATCCCGTGTTCCTAAACCATGAGGTGAGGTCACATTCCCCAACAGAAAGCCAAATGGGCAGGGAGACAGTGGGCTGTGACAGCTCATAGAAGGGCAGCAGTAGGTGTGGGCAGCCTCTCTGGTTCGGTGGGGGGGAGTGGGCGTGAGAACAGAAAGGAGAGGGGGTGAAGACATGGCGGCAGCAGCCCCAAACATGAAGGTCAGGAGGAGTCATGGCAGCACGGCGCTAGCGAATGGATGGGAGGAAAGTTGAGGAAACTTGAGTGGCATAGGAATCTGACAGAAGTTGGCTGGAAGCACAGAATATAAAAAAGTTGGAGAAATCTTTTGAAGCAGAGTAGAGAATTTAAAGAAAAAACTTTTAAATACTTTCTGGGAAAGAATACCAAGTCCTGGGATTAAAAGAATTTGGGATCAGAGCAGGGTTGAAGGGTAGTATAGTATTTGGGATGGGGAAGAGTATAAGACAGCAGGATTTGGGATCATGCTCAAGAGATGTCTCACTTTGGGCTCTCAGGCATGCACAAGGAGATCTTGGATTGGAAATTTTGATATTAGGGCAGGAGGTCAGGCAAGAAAGTTCTGGGTTCGGGAAGGAGCAAGAGATGCACCTAAACCCTCCAGATAGGATGTTCATTTAGAAACAGCAACATAGAATTATCAGCAACACTTTTTTTCCATCCCCAATCTTCTGTCAGTATTAGGATAGCTTTCCCCGCAGGGAAAAATGGGGAGGACAGAATTAGATCTTTGGAAAATGAATGTGTTCAACAGTGCCCACCCTCTGCACATGAAGACCATGCTTCCTAACCTACAGCGCTTCAGAAATTAAATGGATGACATCAATGGGATCAGAATCCTCATTTGAGCAAATTTCTAACAGCAAATTTCTATGGGAATCATTGCTGGATGCAGTGGTGTGTAGCTTAGTTGGTGTGTTTGGTTTTGTTTTTTAACAATTCATCAGTTCCATCACCTGTCCAGCAATAACTATAGGAATAGCCAGAAAAATACTTACTATAGTTTATCTGAAACTTTGCCATTCCAGTGCCAGGGTAGAAGGATCCTCTCCCCACTGCTACTAAGCAGTGTTTGCTTTGTTTTTCCTGAATAACTTCTTTTACACCTGAATGTCCCTGATTCATCAGGTTCCAGGCACGAATGCAGCCATCTAGCCGGGGGTTAATCTGTAGAAGAAATACAGCACTAGGTGTTGGCATTCCAAGTCGTTTTAAAAATGTTGATAATAAGGCATTACCGTACATACCGACTTCTGGATAGCAAATAATAGCCTCATCAATGCTGCAGGTTAGAGCATTGATGCCAGGAGAAAACAAATGGCGTGCACTTAGTACCTCAGCCTTCAGGAGGGGTTTCTGATTTAGTAACGCTTCCCGTTTTGATGCCAGTGATCAGTACAAAACAGACTGCTTCAATGTTTAAAGCTCACGCCGTCTTTTTATTTAGGTCACAACAGCTTTTCTGTAGCTGAAAGACAATGACCACTAGCACTGTCCCTTGTTCAAGGTTTCATCTTCTCCTTGTACCAAAGTACAAAGAAATTTCCAGAATTACTTTCTGTTGGGTAAGGCGATGTTGTATTGCTTCGTATTTTTTCTCTCTGCTTCACTTTTGAGTAAAAATGATTTTTTGCCTTTTGTTTTTTAAAGATGCAGCCTCTACTGTACAGTTAGTTTTTGCCTCTCTGTTTAGACTGCCAATTAGTTTGAGGGCTACTGGACTGAGAAGCACGGTTGCAAAAAACTTGTCTGTACCCATCCCCAGCATAAGACAGAGCTGTTGAGAATGGAAGTCTGAAAGAATCATGGGCCTTGTCAAGCCTGGGCTATTACAAAGCCTATTAAAAATGAAAGCTCATTGTGCTGCCTGCACTGTGAATTCCGTACCTATTCAGAGCCTAGCAAAAGCCGGCACCGGAAACATGAATCACTTTGAAATGCTCTCACAGCAGAAGTGGTGGTGATTTAGGTCATCTTAAAGCTATAGTGGGAAACAGGCTACAGAATCCTGACAGATTGGACCATAAGTGCTGTGTTTTTTTAACTGAAACCTATCTGACGACAGACTACAAAGCTTCACGCATGTTTATTTTCAAAACAGTGGTTTAATAACCTGATTTTCATTTTTCTGCATAGATTCCATGCCACTCTTCCTTCCTCTGTGACTAAGTAAACAATACAAAACCAAACAAAGAACAGAACAGCATTAGTCAAGGTTACCCTTATTTTAGTTACCTGTTTAACAAGAGCGCTGCCCACTTTGCGAGGTAATCCTGCAATGTACACCTTTGTTTCCAAGAAACCCTGCGATTGTTTAAAAAGGGTTCCTGGACTGTTAATACTCATCACGGCTTCTTTAGCTATTTTCACACTGATGCTGTGTTCTAGTTCTTCAACCGAGATCTAAAATCAAATACAAATAGTTACATATATACACACACAAACATGTAGAATATTCTAAATACTCATTATATATGCCTGTGTGAAGCACCACTAATGTTTCTCTAAACATCTGACTGGTAAATCAGTTTTAATGCAGTCAACATTTACAGCCTATTTCAACTCGAGTCATGACAACTGTCCCTACCCATGGACACCCACAGGAGGATGACCTTCCATTCCACCCCCATCCCACCCCTGGAAAATACCCATGCAGCTGGTTAGTTTGCTTTATGCGCTATGGAGTTTGCAGGAAGCTGACTTTGACAATTGCTCTATCTCCAATCCACATTTGGCACACTGTTCTCCTTGTCACTGCAACCTGCGAGAGGATTGAGTCTTACAGGCGGGCTGCAGACAAAATAGGTTCTACGCTTGTTCCTGCTATTATTAGGCATCAAAGTAGATTTTTCATCTCAAGGAAGTTGTACTGAACTGAAACAGGAGGTCTACACAGAATCAAACAAACAAAACCTAACTGATGTTAAAAATCTGGTGTGATTTAGAGATGGTGTAAGTGAGCAAGGCCTTTTGTCTTTGGTATGCAAGCTTGAAGAACAAGATGGATTTCTGGTCTAGCAAACGTAAAACTTGCTGTCTATACAACGTATTGTGTAACTATGCACTTGACTATGCAATCATACTCCTTAATATTCTGCTGCTTCCTTTATCATGATTACAAAGAATAATTCCTGTCTTGCCAGACAGTGGTATTTACCTCTTTCTTGATTGTAAATGGATGCCACAATTTCCCAGATATAAGGCATTCTTGTGCATTTCTTGGCTGACTTTTAAATCTGGGATTTGAGGTCATCATTTGAAGCCCTTTTAATAGTTGCTTAGCTTCCTCTTATTTTACTTATCAAGACAGAATATTCCCACAGTGGGTTAAAGGAAGGAAAGGGGAGAGGGAAAACCCGGCTTACTATATGCCACAGTCCATCATTAATGGCTTTGCCTCCACTGGTGACTTTTGTTCCAAATTCGTTCTTGAATTGAATTTCAATCTTCCCATCACGAAGAGCAAGCAAGATCCATGCTCTATTGTCAAGGGATTCTGCATACAGTATAACACCCTCTGCATCATATGTCCGGAAGTCAAACTCTGCTGTAAATCTGAGTTGTGAAGAAGGAATCTTGATAAGAAGACAGGAAACATGGAATTCTGTATAGCCTAGGATAACTCATTAACAGGGTAAAAAAAGTTCATCGATACTAACCTTTTGGTAACTTTGTATGAGCAGTTCTGGTATTTGCACACAATGAGCCAAAAGCAGAATGTCATGTAAGCCTTGCTCATCTGAATCCAGTGAAAAGTGTTGAGATTAACGCCCTGAGCTGGGATCTGAAAGACCCTTGGTTCAGTTCCCAAATCTGCTGGGACCTTCACATGTGAAGGATATCACACCCCCTTGAGTAAGAAGGTAGATGCACTATTCCTATTGCATTTTGTGGAGATGCCATGCAGCAAAATTACATTATTTACTATGTACTTCAGTACAACAGGGTTGCCAAGTGTTGTCCAACTATAACCTAGCAGTTTACTTTGATTAATGCTGCCTTTTGCATGTCAATCTCTAATTCCAGGACTTGTCTGGATCTTGGCAGTTGGTTGAATGTGTTTATGTAACAAAATTATGGTTTATGTTATAGCACCTGTACAGTGGAAGAGAGAGAGTATAACTACAGCAAAACCCAGTCCTTGTCTCGTAGAATTTTTGCACTAGATAAAACAGATTAAGGATGAAAGGAGAGAAAAAGGCCTGTGGAGGTTAGACTTTGCTGAAGTCAAAAGAAATAAGTAATGGAGCTGTAATTAAGAGCTCAGGTTGCTTTCACTCTCAGTCTTGTTCTTTGCCCACTAGATGTCAATGTCTCCCATGCAGACCCACTGAAAAAACCATTCTGTATTTACACAGAGATTGTTAAGACAGCTTCAAACATTTATCATCTTAGAAAGGTCCTCCAGGAGGGCATTAATGCCTGGTCAACTTGGAATAGCAGCAGAGGAAAAAGTTCTCAGTATTTATGCCCTTCGGTAAGGTTCTGAGGCTCGGGGGATCACCAGCTCAACAGCTGCTGCTGCTGTCACCCTCTAATTGTTCCATCAATAAGTCGAGGAACACTGTAATTTCAGCTGCTGGGGTGAAGAAGTCTAAGAGTAATAAAGGGGGGAGGGGTCACTACCATTAGCAATTGTTCTGACAGCTGTCAAGGAAATCATGCCGTCGGCACCCTAGAGAAGGCACTGTGCTCTGTCGGTGTCCCTGACCCACGTGAAAGGATGCATGGGGTGGGGGAGAGGGCAGCACTGGGCTGCTAGTGTCCCTAAGCAGTCCGTGTGCAGCACGTCACAGCTGCTACCCACAGCAGAAGTGAAGCAGCAGCAACACCCAACAAAACCTATCGCTATATATAACTGGAAGCTGTGCGTTAATTATTTTCCTGTAACAGCTGAATTTCATCTTGAGAATTCTAAATGCCTTCCTGTACCTGTACCGCCGCCTCCCACCTTCCCCAGGCCCTGCTCTCTCCTTTAGGGGAAGAATAAGCCTCTGCCATGAGGAAGCACCAATATTTTCGCTCTCTTGTCCACAAAGTAACGGGACCTACTGCCTGTTAAACTTACTGCCCTCAACCCTCTTCCTTTTTTGGATCCGTTCAAGTCTGGATCTCTTTGAACTCTTTCTCCCAGTCCATACACCTCTCCCTACAACAGCACTGGTAACCAGGACTGTAACAGCTGGGAGTCTCCAACCCTGTCATTCACAGATATGCTCACACCTGAATGCCCAAGGTGCATGTCTTGCCCCAGCTCCGTGCCGTTTCCCGGCCGGGACACTGCTGCTGCTGCCTCCTACCTGCCTCCAGGGCATCTGGGAGAAACCAGCTGGCCTTTTAGCTTTGCCATGCAAGAGCGTTGCTGTCTGCCCGCTGGGAAGGTGGCTCAAGGACACGGCATAACCAGTAAGAGATGCTGTAAACTGCCTCCAGACACATTACTCTTGCCTGTCCACTTCCTCTAAGTGGTAGTATATGCAGGAACCCGAGTTAACTCATCCTCCATATCCAAGTATCTTACCCAGTGAGGAGACGGTGCTATTATTTATGCACGCAACGCACTCTTCCTAAACCCCCAGAGAAAACTGATGGAAACAGTGTCCGTGATTTCATTGCGTGCTTTTCTCAAGAGCAAATGCTTACCTTGTGACATTTGGCAACTTAAACTTTAAGTACAGAACAGGAATTCCCATAAATTGCTCTGCCAGGTAAAGCAGTTCGTAATTCTTTTCAAGGTTCAGTGGGATACACGTAGTAACAGACTGAAAATGGTAGAAAATAAAAGGCTGTTAATGCATTGTGACAGTTCATGAGGCAATACCTACTGTGGGCTATCAGCCTACCCCTTTTTTTAAAGCAATGGTTTACCTCTGGGGTTTTCTGGTTTTCTTTTTTTTAAACTATGCACAAATGAAGGGGTGCGTTTTTCTTTTTTGAATAAAATCTCCATTTATTTAAGCTGTTAGAGGATAATTCAGGTTGAAACACAGTTCTGGTGGATGGCAGCTAGTATTTAAGTACTCAGTATTTGAATAAAGAATTCAAATCTTCCATCAGGCACTTTCCTTTCACCAGGGACCCGTGACACCCACCTACCAGGGTCTTGCCAGGCTTCGTTATTAAAGGTGTCTGGAATCTAAGCCTGAACAGGCGTTAGAAAGGCATGGGGCCAGAGCTGCGTCTTGAGAACATTTCATAAAAATTTTCAGCGTTGCCTTTTACTTTATCAATGTCGATGTACAACTAGTCATACCTGAACAATCTTTAGTACTACTAGAATCATTTATCTGGAATGAACAGTAATGATTTACAAGTGGATTAAGTAACAGATTAATAGAAAATGTGTCTGTCTAGCTGTTCCTTGAGTGTACTTGTCCTGCTTAAGCTCTGAAAAGGAATGTTGATGAAATGAGCACGGCAATTCCTGCAATCGATTTCTGAGAACTGTTAGTGAGGATATGAAGTTCTTAAGACTACATTCTCGGGAAAACTGTAGAGGTTTGAAGTATCTGTGGCAACTGAAAGGCCTACAACATTATGCAACACTGGGATTAATCCTAATGCTCTAGCCAGAGTCAGAGTGAGTAATCACAGTCAGCCAACTGCAGTTGCAACGAGGGGAAAAAAATGGTGCTTACTCTTTCATGTATTCATCTACCTGAAGTTTTAAACAAAGGCGTTTATATGAATATGTAATGCCTATTTTCTGTGCAGTGCAAGTTTAAACTAGTAAAACATTCAGTAAACCAATGTCAGGTCTCCATTCTGAGGCATTATCGACTTCTTTGTCTTCTGAAACTGTAACGTTATAATGGAAGTAATATCTACAGTTTTGTTTTAAAAGTAAAACACTCTGATTTCCTTTAGGCACAGGGAACTAGGCTCTGCATGCGGAGAGAGTTAGAAAGGCTCTTCTAGAATGTGGTTAAGGGCAGCTGTCTCACTGACGAGTAGGAGCCTAAAAGTCTCTTTGATCTGAAGTTGTTAGATCAAAACACCCCTTGAATATCTGCTATGTGATGGCAGTATAAAGTCCTACAGAAGAGAATGATCAAGAGTAGGTGTGCCCGGCTTTTCTGTTCTCAAGACATGCTGTGCTTTGGTACCAACGCAGTTCCTTCTGTACTCACTATGTAGCCATTTCATTAAATGTATAGGTGTTCGTCCTAAATTTTATGGCTGCTTCATTTTGTGTCTGCTAGCGTCACTAGTCTTTGGACTGCATATATTTTCAGCTGATTAACTTTTTTTTCCCCCAATTGAAAGGTCTGCAAATAACTTCTAGATAGAGAGTTAATCGCTTTTGAACAACAGTATTGGGAAAACCATGTAATGAGGCTAGAAG